TAGTTTCTGCTTGTACCTTTTTATGAGGATAAGTGATTGATTTGTGTTTTAAGGGCAATAATTATAATTAGGGGAATTACGACCAACTTTTGACACATCTGGAAAATGCTCTATCGGCTCAAGGGCCTATGGGTAGTTTCTGCTTGTACCTGTTGATGAGCATGACTGGTTGATCATGATATTGTGAAGTTAATGTTTTAAGGGCGGTAATTGCCATTAGGTGAATTACGACCATGCGAACTTTAAAGCAGGCGTTTTATTTTCGACTAGGGTGGCTTTAACTTACACAGTATCAATATTTTACGTGGAGTCATTTCTATATGTGTGTTCTTTTCGTCCTTTATTAGAATCGTCGAGAGACTTTCGTACATAACGAAGTACTTTTACGAGTTTCCGACAGCCTACGCGCGACATCTGTCAGCTGTACAAAGTCAAAATATTCTTTTTAGTCACTCTAACAGGAAAACAACATTTTCTGAAGCGAAAGTTTCGAACGTGAACATTTATTACAGAGAGGTATTAAAGTTCAACTTTCCATCACAAAGTACCTAACAATCTCATTTAAAATTCGAACGTGGAACAGTGAATTGAATATTGAAACTTTTTTTATGAGATTGGAATACTTTCAGAACTTTCAAACAGCCTGTGCCTACACAGATACAAAAATATATGTGAAAAGAGGTTGCAATAAGAGTTACCGATTTTTGCTCACCTGGCCTGGATGGCCCTTTTTTGAGGGAGGAAAATTATCCAATGACTTATCTCGCCTTAGGTACGGCGAGGGAGTGTCAAGACTTACTGACTAAAAACTACCCTGTTCCTACACTTATTTCGAACCGGAGCCCCGGTTTGTTTGTTTTTCTAATCACTGTTGCAGTCAAGAATTAAATTATTATAACCTACAATGGATAAAACACTAGCTATATCTCTGTTGAACAAAAAAACGGCAGCCCGTATAATGAGGGATCATTAGCGATTTTTCCATTTTGAAAGCATATTTCCTGTTCCATCCAAGAATCCAAGTGACTAACTATATGATAAAGCGGCCATTAAATAATAGAAATGTGCGTTTATTTGCATAAGGTCACATTTGATAGTTATCGTTTGAGGATAAATAATTTTTCTCTATGTTAGGTTTATTGTTTTCGATCCTTGAATTTAATGGCTAAAATATTAAAACAGTTATATGAATGTTATCCTTAAAAAGTCAACGCTTTTAAAAAACAGAACTTGAATAATTTTGGATATTCAACAGAACCAAGACTGCTAAAAGTTTTAGGTACTTGGGTACACATTCATAATTCATAAGGATCATACTGAACCCAGGTTTTTAAGGGCAACGAGGCAAAGAGGTCGAGTTATCAATACATTAATACGAGAGCAATTTTTTTTAAGGGGGGAATATCATCGGCTGCTCCCTCCTGTGTGAGGTGGGAGGGAGTGTCAGACTCTTACTGACTAAAACCCACCCCGTTCCTTCTCCTGCACATCGAGCCGGAGCCCCGGTAACCCGTTAGGTTCTCCGTGACAATACGAGAGCAATAGAGTCTCTTTCAAAAATGAGTTTAATCTTTTTATGGATAGGGGAAAAGAGGAAGTCGATGACCTAATGGTACCTAAGTGGTCAGAGCTGCCTATGGTTATCCGCAATACCAGAAGAGTGACACTACCTACACTCATACGGTGAAACACGACGCAAGCGAATAGGAACGGGGTGGTTTTTATTCAGTAAGAGTCTGACACTCCCTTCCGCCTCACCCAGGCGGGAGAAGTCATTCGATGACTTTTCCGCCCTTAAAAAAGTAAAATAAAAACAGCGTTGTTTTACGCCGGTCTAGTGTGAGACCGTGGCATCACTCTGAACTGCCTATTCGTGTTGAAACATGGCTCTCCCGTGTGAAAACGAAATGATAATGCAGTCTTCTTTTTTTTTAAGGGGGGAAAATCATCGAATGACTTCTCCCGCCTGGGTGAGGCGGAAGGGAGTGTCAGACTCTTACTAACTAAAAACCACCCCGTTCCTTCTCCTGCACGTCGAGCCGGAGCCCCGGTTACCCGTTAAGTTCTCCGCGACTTGATAATGCAGTCTAGTCTTGTATGAATAGTTGGTTTGATTTCGTTAGTAATGTAACATAAAATTTTCATCAATTTATTGTGGGAACTTACCATGTAACACGGGGCACTTTGCCGATAACGTAACGGGTTCGGCTCCGGCTCAAAGCAGGACTAGAAACGGAGTGGTTTTTAGTCAGAAATCTAACATTCTCTCGCCTCACCCACGTCAAAAAAAAGGACTTTATTGCCAAAACTGCTCGATTTCAGATCCCTACAATAGTTAACAACAGAGGCCTTAATACGAGTTTGTTTTACGTTTAAAGTTATGGTAACGAGTACGCGTTCGGCGCTCTGATTGGTTGGTTCATTAGAGCTGGCCAATCAGCACGCACGACAGTAGAATTCCCGAACACTCGACCAATCAAGGCAGATATTCAATACAGGAAGATTTCGTAAGAAAAATGCCGCAAAAAAATCCTCTTGCCCTACACCAGTTGTTAATCGAACAATTTAACTTGTTGACATTTTTTAAGTATGAGGTACCAGCAATTTATTTTATTTTCCAAAATAAACTTTATCAGCACTAAAATAGAGCTTGTTTTTGTTTCTACCGAATTCTGCACAAATTGATCAGACAAGTTTGAACATGAACAAGCAAAGGATGAATACAAAAAAAACAATGAATATTTTTTTATTGTCTATGTAGTTATAGCCTATGACGAGATTACCAATGGCAGGAAAATAATATTATATAATTATAAATATTATTTTTCCTCCATTGTTTAGTTTTGTTAGTATTAAACAATGTTGTGCTTGTAGTCTTGAGAATGGCTGGACTAATTTTGATGCACTTTGATTTGTTGAATTAACTAATAACAAATAGGTATTTAATAGGTTAATGACAATAATTGTATTATGAAGAAATAAATATTTAGTGATAAGGACAATAAAGGAACTTATTGGATTTGCCTACAGTTAGTTACATATATAAAAAGATACAGGGAAACCTCTAGGTATTATATTGATACCTTAATACCTACTTCAGTATATAAACAAAGTCGCTATCCGCCGTCTGTCTGTCCCTATGTACCTACGCTTCGATGTTTAAAACTACGAAACGGATTTTTTTTTTAATAGATGGAGTGATTCTTAAGGAAGGTTTAGGTATATCTATTGCATTTTGCACCCACCCGTGCGAAGCCGGGGCGGGTCGCTAGTTAACTCGTCGAGTACCGTATTTATAGACACAATTAACTCGTCGAGTACCGGTTTTATAGACACAATTAAAGAACAATAGGTCGCGGTCACCGGTGACCGCTTGGTGTTTGACAGTTTAAAGAACAATAGGTTGCGGTCACCGGTGACCGCTTGGTGTTTGACAGTTTAAGTATATAACAATCTAGTTTAGTATGAATCTGCAGAACTAAATTACTAGCATTCGAAAAAAAAAAACATTAATTATTAGTTTTTTAATTAATGAGTAATAATTTGTACTCTATAGTAACAGAATATTTTTTTATAAATTATTACAATAAAGAGGATAATCTTCAGCAGCAAGGTACTGGCCAGTAACATAGATATAACGGAGATTTAAAATTTAAAAATACTTTATGAAAATGGCCTCCAGTGACAATACGTTAATGTTGGACAGTGGGCTGGCCACCCACTTGCTAAACCGGGTAATAACTATATTTACTGTGTCATAAGCTATTTTAGTCCAATTTGCGTAAAACATTTGTACTATTATTATTCTATTATAGTATTATTCTCATTCAAAAATTGTCTTCTAACTGCGATACTCAGAGACATTGAATGATTACTTAAACCATTCCTTAGTAACGACTTTGTTCCGAAAACATTTGCTAAGAATTGGATTAAGTATCCATTAAATGACGCTGAATACGGCAGAAATACTTCTTCGTAGTCTTGCAAAATAAGTATTTAGTGTATCCTTTGAATTGATTAGAAACTTCTTTTTTGACTTAAGCCTTAGTTTCCGGGCCACAGTACAAAGCTGAGTACTTGCTTTTTACCAATGCTAATGTCAACATTATATTATCTGTATCACAAAGCATAAAATAACTAAATAGATTTACTTTATTTTTTAAAGTTTACTATCACAAAGTAGGTAATATAGGCTACTTTTCTTATTGGACTTTCTGTATACAGGACCTTGATACCAGAAATCAAAATTCTATGTAGGTAAAACCATATTTGTTTTACCCACATAGAATTGTTATTTATACATAGAAATGTTTTACATAAAAGTGTTACATAAATAACACTGACTTTCGGCCTATTGATTTAGGGTTACAGGTGTAAAATTTTACAGGTGTAAAGTGGTCTATTTTTGAAGAATTTTCTTTCAGTCCTAGTAGTGATAAATTACAGCTAAGTAGGTATGTCGGTTCAAAAATAAACGATATAATATATTTTTTTTACTAGTAATGAGTAATTGATTGTTATCAAATATATTACAACATCAAACAAATGTTTATATATTTCATATCTGTTGCCATACAGTAATGACTCACTCTAGTTTTAATTTCATGTGATTGTATCAAAGTAAACAGTTTTATGAGATTGGTCATTAAATATTTATGTGTTTCATTACAATGTGAAATAGTAAAATAAGAAATAAAATGGTAAATTGCTTGTGACTTTTGTGGATAAAATTATAGTTGTTGATTAGTACTAAAACCTTTTTAATCCAACCTTATGTGAAAACCAAAAAGGATAATGTTCCTGAAATCCTTTTTAGAGTCCTAAAATTATCAGCCAGCATCAAATTGATGATGTCAATAATTTTAAAAATAGAACGCTCCTCGCATTAATGCATCGCGCAGAAGATTTTAATTGAATTAACCACATAATTACACATTTTTTCACACTTGACTAGAGAAAATTATATGGCAGAATTAAATGATTTTATAGATAATACTCACGTCCTCGAAAATAGATCCGACGTTGGCAGTCACAAGCAGCAATGGCACTTTATCCGAACCCATTTTTTTGAACTTCAACATGTTCCTGAAGAGTTTTTATGTGAAAACAAATCCTCTAACACAAACGAGGTTACTATCAACACTACGTAAGTTTAAACGGCCTTATCGTAATTTGGCGCGAATACGCCTTCACTAAGAATACTGTTTATTACATTATTAAGTTTAATTATTACACTTTCCCGTCAAAAACGGAAGAATTTGTTCAGTGTAGTAAATTCACCCGAGTCGTCCCAGCCCTTTCTGACATTTGTATGAATGAATGACATTTGTACGCTCACATTTGCACGTATAAACAGCATATAACCTGAATAATTTACAATGTTTGACATTTTTGATTAAAGTTTACAAAAAATAATTTTAATATAGCATAAAAATACAATAAAAAACGAAAAAAAATATAAGTATTACTATTCCGTTAAATATTTAGTTGAATTTGATCATGGGATGATTTAAATTGAAAATTCTGAGGAAACTGCAAGTACAACACGCGTAAAACGGAACGTTTATTTCAAACTGAGTGACCTTCTCAATTTGGTCGGTTGCTGAACCAATGACGTCGATGCTAGTTTTACGTCACGCCTACTTTCAGGGCCGTATTTGTGTAAATAAATATGGGAAGAGGGTATTTAGACTCGAGAGGTCAAGAAATACGTAAATAGTGACGGTGACAGCGAAAATTAAGAAAATTTATTTTTATGTACTCGCTGCTCGAGGTAAATTATAAATATTTCCACGTTTAGTCGTTTAAATATTTCTATTGTAATTTATTGCTTCACGTAATATTTTTACAGACAGTTGAATGTCGCATCAACATTATTAGCTCAATTATGTTTTGTAAGCGTGTTATTATAAATTATATTTTTTGACATTGTATTGTGTGTCAATTATATTTGAAAAACATATTTTTCAATAATAATCGTGAAAACTGTTGGCGTTACACAGTTTGCTCAGTATAAAGTATTAGGAGTTGAAATAATAAACCAAACAAATAGCAATCCTTAATAATTAGAGTTCGTTAATTCCCTGTGCTTTCGTTTAAAAATAATTTTCCCGCCCAAAACAGGATTTCAGTCCTGGAATTCATCTCTGTCTGTTTTCGGGGCGTTCCTTCAAGCCGCACATGCGATCTATGTTCCGTCGGCGCTCGATGTAAACGGCTAAAATAGAAATCGATTGTTGTTTCTATTCCTGTGGATTTAGGTCGGGTTTATTCGAAATATCAGTGCTATGGCGATCCGGTAACTAATAGGTAAGTGGTATTTATTTTATATTTGGCCATTAATCGTTTAACTGGGCCTTCAATCTTGGCTATTTTCCCATGCCGTGCTTCAATGGAAAGAATTCCATGCCGCTGCGGCAAAGAGGTTGGGAAAAATGTTAATTAATCTATGGTGTTGTTGGTAAACAATAATTAAGAATTTAGTGAATTTTTGTTTGTATTTGACCCTGTAGTGGATTTTAAATACCTACTTTTTGAATGTGGAATGCAATCAGTTAAAATTTTAGCTTCATTTGTTTATTTCGTCTGATTTCAAATCAGCTGTCTACACTTCAAATGTATTAAAATGAAAATGTATTTTCTTTTGTTTATTATGATTTAACTTCCATTATTTTACTAAGCACATATTTTGGCTTCCTGATGAAATGACGCACAAACGATAATTAAAATTCATATGACATTGTATCTAATACAATGATATTTACGTAGAAATTTAAGTAAATATATGAATTTCAGTTCCTCCCAAACCCACATGTAGTTACTTATGCACCTAACAGGCTGAGAATTTAAATACAAGCATATTTTATTTTATTTTTAAACACGCAAGGACGTTTCCATCATTAATTTTAGTTAGGTATAAATCTACAAGATCAAATATTTTAAAATTAGGGAAATAGGTCGCGGCGTCTGTTTCCCGTTTATATGATTGAAGGAACCCTTTTTATGATGAGTAATGATTATCACATGGTTATAGTCAAGGAGCATGCTGCATCTATATATATAAAAATGAAAAACGTTTCTCGTTGTCACGCCATAACTTGAGAACGGCTAGATCGATTTGGCTGATTTTTTTTGTTGTGTTTGTTATTGTCAGGAGAAGGTTCTTATGACAGAAAAACTCCTGAAAATCCTACGGGAACGTGAGAAAACGGGATTGATCAATATCATCAATAATCGGTGGCTATTTACAACTGGACTATGGGTCTCCTCTACTTAGGAGGGTTTCGTATAATCTCCTCGACTTCTTGTAGTTTGAGGTTACATTTATAAGTGGTTGTTTGTTGATCTTTTGTCGTGGGAGTCCGACTAAGGGACAGTGATGTGAACGGCGACGGCGACCTCTCGCCGGCTCTGGTTCAGATCACTGAAGCGCATGGTGCAACGCATTCCGCGCGCCCCTCAAAGAGCCATCAGACCAACATAGATGGGGCCCAACAGGGCTGATGCCGATACGGAGCCGCGAAGGACTTAACGGGTTACCGGGGCTCTGGCTCGAAGTGCAGGAGTAAAAACGGCGTAGTTTTTAGTCAGTAAGAGTCGGATACTCCTCGCCTCACCCAGGCGGCGGGAGACGTCAATTAATGATTGTGCCCATCAAAAAAAGTCCCTTAGACTGTCAAGACCGGCGAAGGGCATGGAGATGGTGGTAAATGTGTACCGAACCACTTATACTTCTCTACCCGCTACCGTCGGTACAAACCACAGGCATGATGTTGCGTGTTTAAAACCTAAATTAATGAATAGAAGTTTTACTAAAGTACGGAGAAAAAATTATCGCACGGGAAATCTGAAACAAACTACACTTATAAAGTGATCGGTTGAATAAAGCGTGTTCAGTTGCTATTAATGCCCATTCCTCTTCGTATGACAAGAAGCAAGTAATGATATGGAACTTATATCCTGGGCCTTTAGCCAAACACCACTTTAGCGCTTGTTTACCGAGAGAGTGGAAATCAAAATGTATGGGGATGACACTGACAAATGTCAAAATATACGTCAATCCCATATAATTTGGTTTTCTATTCTACAAGTAGACAAGCGCTAAGTAGCATTTGGCTACAACTGCTGGTTACTTATATACAAGGTTTTAGTCAAAGAGCCCGACTATTATACACGAATGTCATCGTTTGAATGTTTATTTAAAGACACTGTTGCATAAATATTAGTGTGTGTGACATTTGAAGCGTATTTTATTATTTTGTAAATATTTGTATGGTTTATTCCTGTTTGAAGATCCAAAATTAATAGGAAGCGAACTGAATGCCAAACTTTAATCATAACAGAGTATCACAGTTTGTTATTCTGAAAGGAGTTTGCAGAGTAGCAGAATATGGTCGGCAATGCATTAGTGACACTTAAGCATAGAACCTAAGTTTTTTTTTTGGTGTACGAGTAGAAGGATCCCCTGATGATAAGCAATCGGCGTTGCTCATGGGCACCCGGAACATCAGAGGCGTTACAAGTGCGTTACCGGCGTTTTGGAGATTAGAAATTTGAGGATTATTTGAGATTCAGGAATTGGAGAGTTTGGGGAATGGGGATTGGGGGGTGATTGGGCCTCCGGTAACCTCACACTCATAACGACAACGCTTGCGTTGTTTCACGTCGGGTTTCTGTGAGGCCGTGGTATCACTTCGGTTGAGCCGGCCTTTTCGTGCCGAAGCATGGCTCTCCCACACTTAAAAATCCGGATTAGTGACCGCTTACCATTAGACGGCTCCTTGGCTATGTTACAGAGGTACTTCAATCTATATATAATTTTAAAAAGCTGCGTTATTTAACGTCAGCACAAAATTCGGTAACAAGGGACTGTTCAATTATTTAAGCACCTTTTGAATTACAAGGTTAACTCGCTGGTTCACTGGAATGGGCGAGGGCTAGGGGCTCCGATTGTCAGTTGTTTTTTGTCTACCTACTAACATTACATACGTGGGGAAAGTATTTGAAAACCTTGAGTGTTCAGACATGAATATTTTATCAAATATGTATGTAGGTACAAATGTAAAGGTTTCCTGATAATAAATCAACCTCACTTGTGATATAGCTATGTTATGAGAAACAAACGTATCTGTTGATTTTGTGGATTCTAAGGTATGAATGTTGAGGAAACGTTAAGTCGTAGGCCGCTAGTCAACCCAAATGATGGTATTTCGTGCTTATCGCTGTCGCAGGACCCGACGCGTTAGTATGGGATGTCCAGGCTTCTAGGCGTCCAGACGAGAAATCATTAGACTCAAGTATTAACGAAGTGCACTACTTCGATATCTTGTTACAGGCAATTTATGATGATGAATATGATGATACACAAGTTCCTAAGAATTTGATTTCTTTTCCAGCATTCACAATGTACATCATAAGTTTGTTGGTGTTGGTGGCGGTGGGGGCACCAGGGTTGTCGGCACATCTACACCATGCCGTCGAGACTGAGATGTTCGCAATACCCATCAGCCCTAACTTATTCAACTGGACCTATCAAGGTAAATGCACCATGTTCATGTATCCTTTTTTTATTGACCTCGAAAAGTGTTGTGGTGGTATGTTTAGCTGATTTTTTATGGAATAAGCCGGTAAACGAGCTGACAGATCACCTGATGCCCATGAACACCCGAAACACCAGAGGTGTTACAATTGCGTTACCGGCCTTTTAGGTATTAGGAATTGTTTGTGGTGTTGTTTATGATGATCATCGATATTTACAATACACATTGCAATTTACCCAGTGTACGACACTATTATATATTCTGAGGACTGACGTATTACATAAGATTCTTAACATATGTAGCTGGCCAAATGTGGGTATTATCTACATTCGATCTGTCTACGTCTGCCTTATTCCTTTGGAGTTGGGGAAAATAAAAGGTTATAGGTATTATGTTTGTAATATCAATACCTAAACGATTGTGAACCTCTGTAGCAAAATAGTATTTGTTGTTAAGTGGGATGAGTGAGAAGTTTTTTTAACAAGCGTTACTAGATTTTTCTCCTGTATCGTGGTTGCGTTTACAAATATACGATTTCACATACATATGACACCCAGATCCGAAATAACAATAAGTATATGGATCACATCAAGTGTTGCTCCGTGCGGGAATCGAATCCGCTACCCGTTGCACGGAAGTCAGTTGCCTAGCCACCGCGTCAACTGCGGTCGTATGGAAATAGAACCAATTTCAACGAATATTTTTTCACACGTCCTCGTAGTCTCCAGCCTACTGACAAATGGAATTTCGTGTGATAACTAAAAATATTTGAACTAATATGTAATTCGAGGATTTCATTTGAGGATCTACCTCTTTTGAGTTAGATCGTGATTAGATTGCAATAATGATGGGCAACAATAAAATAGTTAGGTATAGAATTAAATGTATGACATCATCATCATCATCATATCAGCCGTAGGACGTCCACTGCTGGACATAGGCCTCCCCGATGACTTCCAGATAGACCGCTTGGAAGCGACCTGCATCCAGCGGCTCCATCATTAAATCATTATGTATCCTTACTAATATTATAAATCGGAAAGTGAGTTTGTTTGTTTGTTCAGACTTCACGCCGTAACTACTAAACCGATTGCATTGAATTTTTGCAGCCGTAAAGTTAGTAGTCTGGATTAAATAATAGGGTACTTTTTATTTCGAAAAAATTTGATATTCCCGAGGGAAAACAAAAGTATTGGTATAGATGGCGCTGTATGTAATGGTATATGTCACATAGGCTACATTTTATCCTTTTGTGACGCGAGCGAAGCCGCGGGTAAAAGCTAGTGACATATAATCGACAACAATAACCTCAATCATAATACAACTCGTATAAACTATTCTTTGGTCCTTTAGGTAAAATTAAGCTATTTATAAAACTAAAACTCGAGTACAAAAATACATATGCCTCGTTGCTCTACAGTACACAATAATGGCATAAGACCACGGGTATCCTCTAAGAATTTATTGTAATTAGATACGTTTTTAGAGCGTGTCATACTTGTCAAAATCATAATCCTCTTTTTAGCTTAGCCGTAGTCGGGTAAAAATAAGCATCAAATTATATTTTATTTCTATCTGTGATATTGATATAATAGATTCTTAGAAGTAATTAACCAAGAATAATGGCAGAGGTTTAACGAGGTTGTCTGCCTAAAAGTATCGATACTCGATTATTTATAGACGTTACGTATCGATTTCCCAAATAATAAAGACGAAAACAATAAAGATGGGACCCTACTTAAGGTAAGACGATTAAAATTAATAATTTTTCCATAACGACTTAATATTTATTTAGGTCATTTATTTATAGACGTAGAAATTTTTTCCACAGGTAGGGGAGTTATATAATTGAAGAAAAAATTTCCACTTATAAAGGTTTCCCGGCAACCAAATATAATCTTTGTTCTCGTCTCTGGCTCTTGGACTAAGTGGGCCCACGTTGGGCGCCAGTTGAGAATTGACTTCGGTTATGTCAACATCGAGTATCGCCATTTTTTCGGTAATGGCTCAGTAACTAAAGTGTTTATTTATCCATTAAAAGTTTATGTGTATTCTATCTATATATGTATAAGTACATCTTGAACATTTTGCTGACGTTTCAATATTAAAAATTCCATTTAAAATCGTCCATTCAAATTGAATTGTCGTTAATCAATAAAACCTTCGCGAGTGTTCTAGAAAAAGGACTTTATTACAATGTACATTTTTAAAGAGGGGTCAGTCCTGTCTGTTATTCTTATTATTACATTACCAACATCTAGCTTCGAGCAAATTAAAATGAAGTTTAGTAGTCTAGACAAGAAGGTCGAGATTTGAAATCCAGTTTTGCTTTTAGTACCTATCAGTGTGTGATTGACGTGTTGTGTCTGTGTGAGTGAAACTGAATAGCACCCCAAACATTTTGGTCTAGAACGTTCCCCCTTTCCAGTTGGGCCAACATTTGGTATTGGTGAAACAACTTACTGTACCATAGTATTGGATCAAACATTGGCTGAATGGAAGTAGTATGAAAAAGGGCTTCGAGAATGTTCTCCGGTAATGTTGGACCAACTTGTTTCCGATGCAACATCGCGCATGTCCTGCGTCCTGGGCCTTGCAGTTGGCTCAATCGATCATTCCTTCATTACTCAGGCTTGACGTTACACTATTTTATTGCGTCGTAACATTTTAGTTTATTATTTTTTAAGGTTTGATTAATATTAGTCAAAATGTAGTTCTTTAGTGTTGTGTGTTCGGGGGGTGGTGTTGCTGTGTCCAGTAAGTACTATATTGTTTTAGATTTAGATTTTCGTTTGTTTTTAATTTGTTTGTTTAGTCGTAAATGTTGATGACTAAAAGAGGATAGAATCATTGATGTGTGAAAATGGCGATGGATGAAAGACGTATTTTTTATGGAATAGGAGGCAAATGAGCAGACGCTTGACGGATCATCTGGTGGTAAGCGATCAGCGCCGTCCATGGACACTCGCAACACCAGAGGAGTCACAGGTGCGTTGCCGGCCTTTTAAAAGGAATAGCTACGCTCTTTCCGTAAAGGTTTAAAGTTCTAATAGGGAAAAGTAACAGATGTATTAACCTGTGAAGTTCGAGGCAAATGAGCAGACGGTTGACACATCATCTGGTGGTAAGCGATCAGCGCCGTCCATGGACACTCGCAGCACCAGAGGAGACACAGCGTTGTCGGCCTTTTAAAAGGAATAATTACGCTCTTTCCGTGAAGGTTTAAAATGTGTAATAGGGAAAAGTGGAAGGTGTATTAACCTGTGAAGTGTAGGAACGGAGATCTACGCGAGACACAATATATTTTCTATTGTGTCTCATACATCGAGAGATAAGAGGTTAATAAATTCCTAGAATTTTTTAAACAACTTTCTTATTATTACAGGTATCTACTTTGTTAATATTATTTTACTATGTGGCTATGCTAATGAAATTGCTGAGCTGTGGCGCAATGAAAGTGTTATTTCTGTTAGAATAATGTTAAAAGTATGCGTATATCTATTAGGTACCTCCATTTAACCCTTCGAGTACCGCCATTATAGACACAATTAAAGAAAAATAGGTTGCGGTCACAGGTGTCCTCGCGGTGTTTGACAGTTTAATATAGGTATAACGTACTAATTGAATGAATGGGGTTATTGGTTAGTTGCTGAGGTGTTCATCTTTCGTTCCTATATTGTACTGGCTTCAATCCGTAGTTTCGCCCGCCTTCCCATGGGATAAAAATTACTCCATGTGTTAATCCAGATCATAATCTATGTCTGTCCCAAATTTCATCCCAATCCCTTCAGCAGTTTTGACGTGATTGAGCAACATACACACAAACACACAAACACGCAAACTCACAAATTATTGCATTTATAATACACACACAATATGACGCTTTTTATCCCCGAATGGGTAGGCAGAGGTGCACATTACGACACTTAATGCCACTGTACAATGTAACACCCACTTTTACTATTAATGTTATGACTCCCATGTAATGGGGGTGAGTCTATTGCCATATTATATCTGTATGTCGCGGAGCACCTAACGGGTTACCGGGGCTCCGGCTGGTCGCGCAGGAGAAGGAACGGGGTGGTTTTTAGTCAGTAGGAGTCTGACACTCCCTCCCACCTCATCCAGGCGGGAGCAGTCATTCGATGATTTTTCCCTCTTAAAAAAATTATATATCTGTATACCGTACAGTATATCCGTGCTACTACTGATTTTAATATTGGTAAGATAAGATTGTATTAGTTTTCCACCTGCAGTTCACCCGGTGTGAACAAAACCCGGGAACAATTCTACATATCTTTTTTTTAAATATTGTTATTGTCATTGCCATGAACCAAACCTTTTGAATCAGAATAAACGTAGTAATCCTAAAACACGTGTTACTAGGTACCTATTAGTACATGTATATCAAAGGACTTTCCCCTTTGCTTTCACCCTTCCTTTTGAAACACAAGGGGGAGCTGGCACGTTGCCATCTAAGCCAAGTTTACGTCTGGGGGGTCAGACTAGCTTACTACTTGGATAACAAAGTCTAAACAAATGACTAACATTTTTTAGCGATTTTATTTTTAAAACGTGGTTTAATATCTGCAGCTGTAGCCAAATTCCATTTAGCGTTTGTTTACAAGAATAGAAAACCAAATTATATGTAATCGATGTAAATTTTTACACTTGTCCGTGTCATCCCCATACAGTTTGATTTCTACTCTCTCTGTAGACAAGCTAAAGTGACGTTTGGCTAAAGGCCCTATTTATCTATACAAATAAATAAAATAGGAGCATCTGTTTGTAACTTTAAAGAGTTACAGCTTTTTACTAAATGTATCTAAATATCTATACGATACATACACCAAAATAATATTTGGATAGTTTTTGTCTGTCTGTCTATCTGTTTGTTCTGGCTAATCTCTGAGATGGGTGGACCGATTTTAACAAAACTTTTATTGGCAGTTAGCTTTTTAAAACTGAGGAAAATCATCGAATGTGTTCTCCCGCCT